TTATATGAAATAAATTCAATTCTAACTTTTTCACTTCATCTCAATTTAGCTTACAAATTAAAGAATATAATTTTGAAATAATAAATAAAAAATATATTTTTATATATTTTTCAAAATTCTTATTGTCATAATGTTTAGATACGTGGACCTATCGCTAGATATAGATTAAAGGAGTGGTCACTAATCTTTCTTTTTTTTGTTAAGGTGTGATTGGTCACCTAATCGAATATGTCCTATTTAAAGAAGAGTACCAATATTGACTTAGGTATCTTTAGAAAGTAGATTTTAGTCCACGAAATTAGATTTCAAATTCAGGAGTGCAATTACGTATAAGAAAAGTTATAGCACCCTCACAGTGCTCATCTAAAGGATGGTACCAGTTTGATTTCAAATTATCCAAGCCTTAACCATATTTACAATTTACCAAAATATTTAATATTAAAAATTAATTTTAAAATTACTCCAATAGTTTAGTAGCAATTTAAGATAATTCTCTCACCTTAGGAGCATTCATGAAGACTAATGTCCTACCCTGAAGAGGCTCTGTTGTCAAATTTATTTAAATTTTAGTCAAAGAAATAATTAATAAAATCTATCAATAGTTTGGTAATATTTACTTTGATGCAGATCTTGCAATAGTTTGATGAGATTTTTATTATACGATTGTTTTTAAAAAATACATTAACTCTTCTAACAGTTTGATGAAATTGAATTTAAAATGCAAATCTTCCAATAGTTTGATGGGATAAAATATAATATTTATTATCAATTATTTTTTTATAAATTGATTATGAGATTATCCAATAATTTGGTAGAATTCATAAAAAATAAAATTCATGAAGAAACCTCTAATAGTTTAATAGGATTCATGACTTTCTTTATAAACGTTTTAATTATTTTTTTTTATTATTATTATTTAGAAGAAATGAAATTTATAAAAGTATTTGAAAGAAATTGATAATAATAATAATAATAAATGAAATTTAAAAAAATAAAAATAAAAATAAAACAAATAAAATGAAATAGAAAATAAGAAAATCTAAAATAAATAAAAATGAAAATGAAAAATAAAATAAAATAAAAAGGAAACCTACAATCAGATTGGGTCTAACACGCAAGTCATACATGGGTCAATAGGTCGACAAGCGAATTCTAGGCCTTCAGAACGGTGTCATCTGGAGCTAGTATAAAAGCCAAGCTTTTTCGATTTTTCCTCAGAAACCCTTAGCCCCCTCTCTCGCTAAGATGAATTTCTCTCTCACCTCTCTTTAAAATTCCTAGATTCAATCACCGAAAAGTAGATTTGACAATTGGTTTCCGAAAAACTAGCAGAAACTTGGTCGAAAACTTCAAAGTGCATCGAAAAATTCAACTGAAAAATTTAAACCTTCAAACAAAACCCAAATTTTTCCAAAACTTTCCATATATTTTTTAAATTCTCTAGATTTTTCAAAAAAACTCCCTTTTTTTCAGATTTTTTCAAAGATTCCAAACAATATTGCTTTTCAGCAAACTCAAAACCCAACTATTAACTAACCCTAAACAAAATTGACCAAACAGTAGCAACCCAGAACCCAAACTCTTTTCCCTTTTTTCCTTGTTTGCTCTATATAATTTAGGATTCATTTAACATAAATTAGGGGATTTAACAGCGTTAATCTATGCTGAATTTTGGGATTTATTGTGGTCAATGATTCGACTAATTTTGGTTTTCCAATAAAGCCAAAACTTTTTCCAATTCACCAAGGGATTTTAGAAAAATTTTGCTGATCTGTTTTCCTTTTGTGAAAGAATGAAAGAAATAATAATAATAATAATAATAATAAAGATTGAGCCCAAAGCCTACATCTAATCAACAATTATCGGACCCAAAACCCAAATGAAATTATACAAAATGCAAGAAACTTAAACATGGATCCCTTCGAGGTTCGATGATCTAAAAGAGATCTGATTTGACAAATCAATCGTACCCAGCACGGAAATGGGTGTCTACACTTATTAAACACATATTAAAAAAATAACATGTTTACATATTTGTTGATGTTTTTGCTTTTTTACCCGTAAAATTTTAATCCTTTGGCTAAATCAACATCAATTTTTTTTTACTAAAAAAAAATGATGAAGAGAGGTTTTTCTAATTCAAAGTCAAAATAAATCACACAAACGTCAAAGATAACTTATATTGAATTTACATTGAATAATATTAGAATTAGTTATCTAGAATTTTGCTAGCTCAACACTCAATAAAATTGTAATGGTAAAGTTGAACTTTGTTTCGACTTTCCATTAGTAACAACTACTTATGTATCATTCTGCATTTGTTGAAATTGATAGTGATTTTATATGTCATAATAGTAATTATAAAATCATTTTACTGTTATAATTTATAAAATTCCAACCAATATTATTATAAAATTATAAGTCATACAATTCATACTATATATTTTTGTATCTGGTTGCTATTGTTGTTTTTATTGATACCACACAGCATAATAATTTATTTTATTATGAAAAAACCCTTTATTTTGAGGTCAAATATTCTTAAATTGAATTTCTTCTAAAAAATTTCTTTATTTTATGTTTTAATGCTTTTATTTTATATGCTCAATTTGATTTATGTAATACAATTTTTTTAATTCATCAATTTAAATTAATTAATTTTACTTTTTATTTAATATTTTTAATAAAAAATTTACAAATTTTGCTTACAAAATTTCTTCTAAAGCCTTATTTAAAATGAATTGGTGTCATTGTTTAATGCATTTAAGCACCTTTTGATACAATTGCACTATGTTTTGCTATTTGGATCTCAAAGGCATGATCTAAGTATGTTTACGTGGCTTCAGTAGAAGACTTGAACTGCATTGATGGGAAAGGAGTGGTGGGTTTTGACACTTTGACATTTTTGCTCTTTTTTTATTTTTTTAACTAATAAATTGTGAAATAATTTTTTATTTACTATAATGAAAAATTTTATTATATAATAAACCTATAAATAAATAAATAAAATTATTATTATATTATAAATTAAAAATTATTATTTTATAAATTTTATTATTATATAAAATTAATAACTAAATATAAAAGTTAGTATTATATTTATATTATTATTTTAATTGAAAATAGATAAATACATCATTAATAAAAAATTAAAGAAAAAATATCATTTGATATATTATTATTTTTATTAGTTTTAATTATTTATCAATAAATTATTATTTGATATAAAAATAATTTAATGATTTTTCAATTATTTATTAATATTATAACTTAAATAATTTAAAAATTTTATTACATATAAATTTTAATATAATGTTTTTAATAGTTATTCTTTTCTAACTATAATTCAAATTATTTTGACCATTTATTTACATCAAAATACATATATTCAAAAATAATTTAAATATCATAGATATAATATCTAATCTCTTAGCTGTTTTTAATCTTACATAAATCAATCTTACTACCAATTTAAATGGACCCTTAATGATTCTCATTACATTGAGATGTTAATATTATCAAAATTCGATGAAAATTTTAATTTTTTATTTGAATAGAAATAAAAAAGATATTAAATTTTAAGAATTAAGACTAAATTGTATATGATTTAACTTTACTTATAAAATTTCATTTAATTCGTTTAAGTCTTTTCTTTTGCACTGTAATGTTGATGATTCTTATATATCTTTTGACATATAATTTAATTGTTACCATGAACTCGCTAGAAATGGGTGGCCAAAAAAATTAAATAAGACTTCATATTGGATAAAAAAATTGACTTGAACCAAATTAAACGAAAAAATTCACAAATATTTTAAAATTATTATTTTATAAAATTGACTCGATTGTTGATTTATGGTTTATAGTATTGATATCTTCATTTAATAATTGAATTATTATTTTATATAGATATATAGACCATAGAGTTTATAAAAAGTTTTTAATTTTTATATATATATTATTGTAAAATACATGTTAATTTTTTAATTTTGTTTATAAAATTTATAAAATTTATATTAGATTATTTTTAATTCGTTAATCTTTACGTACTTTTTTTTTTTAAATTATGACTTAATAATAGAGATGTCAATCGTACTCATACCCAATGGGAAACTCGATTTTTTTCCAAATAGAGATGTGGATAGGTATTATATTGTGGGTACAATGATGGGGATGGATATGATTTTAAATATTTACTAGGTATGAAGATGGAAACGGGTAATAGAGTACCCATCTCATACCCATACCATATATATATATTTATATATATTTAGTAAATATATTTTTTATTAAATAATGTAAATTATTATTTTAGATTAATTAAAATTAATATATTTTATTGAAAAAATATATATTAATAAAAAAATTAGCTAAGCATACATGATAAAAATAAAAAATTAAAAGAAATAAATTTTATTTTTATTTTTTAAAAATGTTATGGGTATGAGGATTACCCATACTCATTAATTAAATACCTATGGAGATAGAGATGTGGATAAATTTAAAATATCTATTGGATATGGGTACGAAGATGGGTATGATATAAAAATCCGGAGATAGGGGATGGGGAATACTTTACCCTACTTATAGCCTACCAATGGACATCCCTATAGTAATCTTATAAACTAATTTATCTAAACTTAAAAATTTTATTGATGTATTAGAAATTTTCGTTGAAATTAATTATCATGAAAATGTTTAACCTTCACTTTTGATTAAAATAAGTGCAAATTAACCAAAATAAAATAATCTTTTATTTACTGTATAAAAGAAAATAAAAAAATCAGTAATCAATATCTGTAAAAATAATTTAAAATTTAATTTAATTAATTTATATAATCACAATAAATCTGATATTTAAATATCAATACTTATAATTTTTTTTATGTTGAATTTTTTTTTATAAAAAAATTTCAACGATATTAATTTAAATGTAAAAGACTCGTAAGTCTTGAAATTGCATTTTTCCACTTGACATCGATGTTTCGTAGTGACTGAAATGCTCTAGTATTTTGCATAAATACCTGACCATGCCAGGCAATGTGATTTACAACATTTAACAAACAATACTTTTTGAGCCATCCAAATCATGGCATCTTTCATGATACCATTCAAAGCCCTGTTCTTCCTCATAGTTGTCCTGCATCAGTCTCCCTCTGTTTTTTCTTCTTCATCCTCCATTGCTGCAAATGAAACAGAAACTCTTCTAAAATGGAAAGCTAGCCTTGACAACAACACCCAAACTTTGCTCTCTTCGTGGGTTGGAGGCAACCATTGCAACTGGGTCGGAATCACTTGCGACATGGCCGGAACCATCACCAATCTAAGCCTTCCAGATCATATGTTGAACTTGAAAGGTACACTTCATAGTCTTAACTTTTTTTTCCTCCCTAATCTGGTGTGGCTTAACCTTCGTAACAACTCACTGTATGGGTCCATCCCCTCACACATTGGGAACCTTTCTAAGCTCACCCACCTTGACTTGTCATACAATACTTTTTCTGGGAATATTCCATCCGAAATTTCCTTATTGAAATGTCTTGAGTTGATTTCCTTATCAAATAATGAGATCAATGGTTCCATTCCACAAGAAATAGGGAGGTTGAGTTCAGTTTCCAAGATCTATTTCTATGTTAACCATCTAAGTGGTTCTATACCTGAAGAGGTTTGCAACCTTTCCAAGCTCACTGAGCTTGACTTGTCACAAAATAATTTCTTTGGAAGTATTCCTTCTAAAATCGGAAGGTTCAGTTCACTTTCTGTACTTGCCCTTAATGCAAACAATCTCACCGGTCCAATACCTATTTCCATTGGAAGCTTGCACAATTTGTCCCGACTTATTCTCCTTGACAATAGGCTCAATGGTTCCATGCCTAAAGAAGTTGGAATGATGAAGTCACTTAATATGCTTGATCTTTCAACCAACCAACTAACTGGTCCTATCCCAACATCTATAGGAAACTTAAGTAACATGGTATGGCTCTATCTGTACGAAAATCAGCTCTCTGGTTCTATCCCCAATGAAATAGGATTGCTTCAATCTCTTAAAACGTTGCAGTTGTTAAGTAATAATCTCACTGGTGTCATCCCTGCTTCCATAGGAAACTTGACCAGCTTATCTACTCTCTACCTTCATCGAAATATGTTTTCTGGTTCAATCCCTGCTTCCATAGGAAACTTGACCAGCTTATCTACTCTCAACCTTCATCAAAATATGTTTTCTGGTTCAATCCCTGCATCCATAGGAAACTTGACCAGCTTGTCTACTCTCGCCCTTCCTCTAAATATGTTCTCTGGTTCAATCCCTGCTTCCATAGGAAAATTGACAACCTTATCTACTCTCTACCTTGATCAAAATATGTTTTCTGGTTCAATCCCTGCTTCAATTGGAAACATGACGAAGCTTGTGGCGCTAAGTCTTCAAAATAATCATTTATCAGGGCCAATTCCTTCGTTCAGCAATCTTACTCATTTGGAATCATTCCAAATATCGGACAACCATTTCAGTGGTCCATTACCCGAGAATGTGTGCCACGGTGGACAACTCGAATGGCTTGGGGCTGTGAACAACAATTTGAGGGGTCCGATCCCATCAAGTTTAAGAAACTGCAAAAGCTTACACAGAGTTAGGCTTGAGGGAAACCAGTTGACAGGAAATATATCAGAAGCTTTTGGTATATATCCTAATTTGAATTATATTGCATTAAGCAACAACAACTTTTATGGTGAACTTTCGCCAAACTGGGGGCAATGCCATAATCTAACAAGCCTACGAATCTCCAATAATAACATTTCTGGAAAGATACCACCTGAGCTGAAGCATGCAACTCAATTACACGAACTCGATGTCTCTTCAAATCATCTCATTGGTGAGATTCCCAAGGAATTGGGAGCATTGACATTGATGTACAAACTTTTGCTAAGTGGTAACCAACTTTCAGGCAAAATTCCACCAGAGATTGGAGTTCTTTCAAATCTAGAACATCTTAACTTGGCATCAAACAATTTGAGTGGACCGATTCCTAATCAACTTGGAGAGTGCTCAAAGTTATTGGACCTGAATTTGAGCAAGAATAAACTTGGAGAAAGCATTCCACTTTCAGTAAGCTACATAAATGGCCTTCAAAATCTAGATTTAAGTCAGAATTTACTTATTGGGGAGATACCACAACAGCTTGCAAAATTACATTCCTTGGAAACATTGGACCTTTCTCACAATATGCTCAATGGTTCCATCCCAAATTCTTTTAACAATTTGCAAAGCTTGACTGTTGTGAATATATCTTACAATCAATTAGAAGGCTCTATTCCTAACATTAAGGCATTTCATGAGGCTTCATTTGATGCCTTAAGAAACAATAAGGGACTATGTGGTAATGCCACTGGACTAATGCCTTGTGCTGTCGCTGCTACTAGCAACGGTCATAGAAAGAGCACCAAAGTCATCATTTTCATTGTGCTTCCACTCTTTGGTCTTCTTCTTTTGCTCTTCATCATGGCTGGCAGCTTCCTTACTCTTTGCCAAAAGAACCAAACCAGAAAATCCGAGTCAATTGAGGCACAACTTGGAGATTTTTTCACATTGTGGGGATATAATGGAAGAATACTCTATGAGAATATTATTGAAGCCACTGAAGATTTCAGCTCCAACAAATGCATTGGTTCAGGAGGCTATGGAGCTGTTTATAAAGCTGCGCTACCCATTGGTGAGGTGGTTGCTGTGAAGAAACTTCACCAATCTGAAGATAGCATGATTTCCAACAACTTGAAAGCCTTTGAAAGCGAGATTCATGCTTTATCAGAAATAAGGCATCGTAACATTGTGAAGCTGTATGGCTTTTGTTCACATCCAAAGAACTCATTTTTGGTTTATGAGTTTGTAGAACGGGGAAGTTTGAGAATGGTGTTAAGCAACAAGGACGAGGCAATGGAGTTGGATTGGGAAAAGAGGCTAAATGTTGTAAAAGGAGTGGCCAATGCCTTGTCTTATATGCATCATGACCATTCACCACCGATAATTCATCGAGACATTTCCAGCAACAATGTTCTTCTGGATTTGGACTATGAGGCTCATGTCTCAGATTTCGGCACAGCTAGGCTTTTAAAGTCCGACTCTTCCAATTGGACCTCACTTGCTGGCACTTTGGGGTACATAGCTCCAGGTATTTATTGATACTTTAAACATGTCATCATTCAATTAAAACTGTTAGTTTTGTGCGTAAATTGATGCGTTGAAACAAAGTTCAAGTAGTATTATGATTGTAACTTTTCAAATTTTAAGTATCAAATTAAGAATTTTACTATAATTCAAGTATCGAATGTGTAATTAATTTTTGAAGTTTAACACTTAATTTTTCAATATTCAATATATCAAACTAATGAACTAAATGTAAAATTTTGTTAAAACCTATGAATTTTAATTTTCAAGTAATCTTTTAAACATTTACAATTTCTTTTCAACATTATTTTATAATCTTCTCAATATTCTTTATTCTTATATAATAGTGTATTGATAAGATTTATTTCTTGCTTAATAGAGCACATTTATTAGATATATTTTTCTAAACAGAGTTGGCTTATACAATGAAAGTAGACGAGAGATGTGATGTTTACAGTTTTGGGGTGCTAACAATGGAAATATTTATGGGGAGGTATCCTGATGATTTGACTTCATGTCTACCATCGTCGTCATCGGCATCGACATCGACATTGGTAGCAAATGACAACCATCAAATTTTACTTAAAGATGTGATAGACCAACGCCTTTCACCACCGACAAGGCAAGTTGCAAAGGATGTTGTCTCTAATACAAAGCTAGCATTTGCATGCTTGAATGGCAATCCCCAACTGAGGCCAACCATGCGACAAGTTGCTCAAGCCCTTACACATCAATCGCTTCCATTGCCCAATCCTTTCTCAATTATAAAATTGGGAGAATTGTGGGATTATAAAGTCTGCAGTGGCTAATATTAAGGTGCTAACAATTTAAATAATAATTCTAAGCACGTGTATTTGCTTTCAATCTATTTCTTTTTCTCTTCTTTGTATCGAAATGTTTAAGCACTCTAGTAATAAAGCTTTTGTAGTAAATCGACTGTGATATAGAACAGCTGTGTTTAAGCCTGTGATATAGAATAATTGCATTTAAGCACTTAATTTATATGTTTAAGATTTTCTATTTTTGAAATGTAATTAATGGCCAGACTTAAAATTTCGACTTTTAGTATCGATTGTAATATTCTACTATAATACCAATTTGCTACAGTACTTTTGCTTTGGATTGCTACGGCAATTCTAATTTCACTTTTTTATTTGTTTGAACAAGCAAAGAATACAATTGGTGAGCACACCAAATTACAATAAACACAACTTCACACAATAACCTTTTGATTTATTATTTACTCTCCATTTATTCTTATACACACTCATACACATTATTTCTCACAATTTCATATTTCTAACCTTTCATCATTCACTACCTTTTAAATCATTCAAAATTTAATTGTAATTGTATTGAGTACACTTGAAACGGATTTGAGTGATGATTTTGAAGAATATACCTTTAACTTGTACTTTTTTTTACTAAAATGCTAAAAATGTTGTACTTTTCTCAAATTTCTCAAATAAACTTTTATCTATTTTTTATCCAATTGAAAGCATAAAACATTATTGTTATTTAATTAAATCTTATTTTACACAAAAACCACTAAAATTCATTATTTTAACCATATCAACAGTAATAATTGTCTTTGTTAAATTAATTTACGCATTGCAAAACATAAAAATTTAAGTTGAACTGTCATTTATATAATATGTAATAAATAGCTCATTTAATAAGCCACGTTAGCATCTAAAGAGTTTTTTTATTTTCAATATATGCTATGTAGATGTTGGCATTAGAAAAAGAAATATGGCATATATGTTGATTTGGCAAGAAATAATATTATTTTTTGTAATTTTCATCTAAGAAAAAGAGGTTAATGAAACAAAATTATACTCAAATTTAATTAGACAAAAATAAATTTTTTAAGAACTTAATTGGATATAATAGAAGAATGGAGGCTTATATGAAAAATTCATATGATTGACGAGTCATTGATGACATTGAATTTTAAGCCTGCTAGTTAGTCTTCTATTCAAATTTTGAAAAAAAAAAATTTTGGTGATACGATAAGATAGTCTTTTACTCATGAAGAAAAGGAGAAGACTTGAGGATTTGAGTTCCAACAAACAATGTACCATTTGTTTGGAGTTCTTGGTTGGAGACGAAGTTGCCTTGATATCTTGCAGGCATGTTTTCCATGATGATTCCATTGTTAGAGGGATTTTCAGAAATTTTGCAAACTTTTTTACAATGTTTAAAATGAGGAGATAATACAATAAACAATCTTGCTTTGATATAATTGTATAAAATCTTATGGCAATCAATGGATGAATACATTTTACTCAAATATCTCAGAGTGTTGCCAATTATCTCTATATTAATCAGTTACACATCAGAATGGACATTTCTTTGAAATATTGAATTTAGTTGTACAAATAATTTTTGGAAAAGATTTATAGATATGGTGGTGGCAATTTTATGTGTCATTTTACTTCATATTGAATTATTAAAGCAAAAGAAATTTTGGATGGTTGTGGGTACAGATTATTCAGATGATACTTAGATTATTTGAAATTAAGACTATTGGATTTGGATTATTTTGAGTTTAAATTATTATATTTTAAAATCAATTTATTTTTAAATAATAATTTTAAATCAATTTTCAAGTTATTTGAGTTCGAATCATTTTAAATTCATATTAATTCAAGCGTAAATAATTTCAAGTTTGAGTTGAGCAAATTTAGATTATTAATTTTTTTTAATCAAATTAGATTGAAACAGATCCATATCTAGACAGATATAAAGTTATATATTATTATAATTATTATTGTAAAATGAAAATATTAATGTTCTTCAAAAAAATTATTAAAATTTTATTTATTGATTGCTATCCAAATTGAATTAACTAAATATAGAAAGAAGTTTGATTGAGAAACAAAGAATGGTCTTAGAAGCAGAAGTACTAAAACATGAGAAATAAAATGGATTCTATAAACAATTAACTAAAGCATAGCAATTACTTCCATTAATTCTTCTCTATACCAAAAGTAGAAATGTGAAACCAATTTGATTTTGATTCTAAAAATAAACATATTTACCTTCATTACTTTATATTCACTTCTCCATCCATTGAAACAAAAACCCTTCTGAAATGGAAAGCGAGACTCGACTAGGGGTGAGCAATTGTTCAGTTGGTCGATTCAATTCAGTTTTAAAAAGCTTAAAAAACCAAAAACTGACTTTACCGAACCAAGTTATACAAAGCTAACATCATTAAGTAAGCTCTAGAATTCAACATCTTTGTCCAATCGAATTGACGACAACTAGAATTGTTCAATATCCAACACTCTTACTGTCAACTACTTTCTAAGAAAGCATACAAAGATGTATTCAGGAAACTAGTCCTAAGTAGTCACCTTCCAAACTTACCAATGCCTGAAATTCCCTCTCTGCTTCCATCCACTTTGTTCCAATCACAATAAATCGGATGACAACATCCTTCTCAATCTTTGAGTGCTTGTCATTCATGAAGATAGCGTTCCCTCCAGGCACACAATGGTAGTCGGGCATTTTTACATGAGATATATAGATGTTTTGGATTGGTCTACACTTCAAGAAAACTCTATGTTTTAGTACCTTGTGTACATCTCCTTCCAAAATCTCTCCTCTGAATATCTTGAAGGTGATTCCATGAAGACAACAGGGAAAAACACATCCCCTGTGTTCTGTCTAACTCTGCGCTTCCCAATGCTCTCCAGAGTTGTTACAGCATCCAAGCTGTCAGCAGGAATTATGACATTCCACGGCAACTGCACCTTGAGAAACATTCTGCAACTGCAATCAACATGGAAATGTAAAAAATTAAAAAAAAAAAAAGTAATTCGCAATGAAACCAATGTCCTTAGAGTAAGGAGAAACAGTATATCAATCTTGAAGAACTCAAAAATCGATTTAGACCTATCCCAATATCAATTATGTTAAAACCAAATTTCAACAATCCAAACAGAAAAGATTGAAAGAGATGAGTGTTTAACTAATTGAAAATTTACCAGATTGTAATGAAATATAACCCTACAATGCCCATTTCACATGATCAGGGATGCTTAATTCCACGAAATGAATAGCAGCAAACCCAGCATCAAAATAAAGCAATAATAAACAGATAGTACCAAATGAAAACTATGGCATTCCTTCAAGAACAGCCAAAAACTTTTCTATGATCTTATTCAATACAAGCCGGTCAAGCAAAATTCTATTCAAAATCATATCTTCTAAACTACAAATGAATACTAGTTTAACCTTAAACTTAATTTTGGAAAATAGAAAAAAGCCTTTAACTTTAAATAACACAATTAGTAACTAACAATAACATACTCTATTAATAAAGTGTTCAATTCTGAATTTTAATGATAAAATTGTAATTCTTAACAATTTCGGATAACAACACAATTAATTTTAATTATATTATCACAAGTGATAATAATTATTGATAAAGGTGCAACATTTTATCCCTTCAAAAGAAAAAAAAAAAAAACAACCAAGATTACGGGAACAAAAGTTTCACTCACTAATCATGCAACAAAAGCTTATAACCATAAACATTTCTTGACCAAAAAAATTCAGACAAGACAGAACTGAAAACAAAACAAGAATTCCATGTCAAGACCATCTTAAGTTCCGGAAATTTGACCAAAGCAAATGTTCAAAAACAATGAAGAAAACCCATCATTAATAGTCAAATTTCCCTTACAAAAAAAATGACCAAACATGCCATAAAGACCCATTACGAATCAAAGTTTTGTAAATGTAAAAATCAGTACTATATTTTCAGCCAAACAAAACCATGAAAACTACAAAGTTAACCATCAGAATCATTGACAGAACGATAAATTTAGAATAAAAGGAAAATTGGCTTTTTGCCTGAATCGATGATTTTGAGAGCAAAGTGAGACTGTGAAGAAGAAAGGAATGAACTTACATTTTTATTAGCAAATCAACGATTGTAACTTAAAAAGGTTCAGATCAACGGTCCAAAACATTTTTCCTGGAATAGGTTAGTTCGAAACTTTTCGAGCTTATTTTCAATTAAAAAACGTTTTGGCATTTGGCTTTGAGGGTAATGTTTTACCTTTTTTTTTTTTTTAAGAAAAATTCTCTTTCAATTACTTTTTCTTTGTGTTTGATAAGAAAAATTTGCGTTTTCAATTTTTAGAATTTTTGAAATAAATTTATTTTTACTGATTTAATTGTCCAAGTAAAAAAAAAATTAGTATACATGAATAAGATAATTAAAAATGATTTGTATTTTCATAATGTCCCGAAAAGGGATAAAAAACGAAATTTTTTTTATCATTATTATTGTGTTGTGATTTAAACAAGACAAAGCATATTTCAAAAATAAATTGACTATCAACTGAGTTATATAGCAAATTTTAAAGAATATAAACTGAGTTAAAACTGAGTCCAAAAAAATTAATTTTGATTTTGTATGTCATTCTTTCTCTTTTTCTTTCTTTTAAACGCATGTATAAATCTCTTAAATTATGATTTAAAAACAATGTTATAAGAGTAAAAACAAATCAAGTAATTATTTGATTTGATTTGTTTATTATTAAACTAAGCTCAAACTCGAGCTACTCAAATAATAAGTTAAACTTACTTTGAGTAATTTAATACTCGAATTGACAGATTCAAGAGTCTAATAAAATTTTTTTTAATATATTTAATGTATATATAATTAATTAACAAAATTAGTGTTTAATATATTTACAATTTTTACCTAGCTTAATTGAGTCTATTGAGAGGAACTTGAATGACACAATTAAAGTATGAACCATATTAGAGTATAAAATAAAATTTAATCGAACTCAAATCAAATTTTAAATCTTAAGTTTTCGAGTCTAACTAAATCAAACCTGACAATCCATCAACTTGATTCGACTAGAATTACATCCTACAATACTAATAATCATGTTGTTATGCCTCTTTA